GCAGGTAAACCCATGATTCCAGTAATAACAGGGCTGCACAGGTGTGCAAGGCTCGGTAAACAGTCTACGTTATCACTCCGGTGAATATCACTGAGGTCACAAACTACGTGTGGTAACTACGGGCAGTCATACATGACAGACTGTATCTTCATATGACACCACGAGCGGATGATGACTATAGGCCTGCTCATCTGATTTCAACACCACTCACAGTGACTCACACTTTTATAGCAATCAGCCGGATTTTTTTCACAGATGAAAGTTGAGGTTTCAATTACGTCTAACTGGGAGCCATGTGGTTACAGCTGAATAAAATCAATGCAATATGAAGAAGTACAACTGGATAACAAGAAAAGGGGTACAGCCCTGAACGCCTTTCAACCAAGCCACACACACACATGTAGTGGTGTTTAGAGACACACATTCACACAGCAAACGAGAGGACTTCTGATCTTGTTAATCAACCTTCAGCTTTAAATGAGCTTCGAGAAAAAGAGGAATATAACAAAATAAACAGAAACAAGGGGAAATGGATGGAAGCCTTTCTCTTCCTCATGTACAATGCTGCTTGCCATGCACTGCTAGCTCATATGCCCACATCCTGCACTAGCACAAAATAAGCTAGGTGGCAGAGCCTGAGAGCCTGAAGCATGCTCTCATTCAAATTTTTCATAAAGAAAAAGTAGACGATGAGGATGAACCTCTGGTATAACCTATGCCGGTCAGCCCAGACAGCTGAGACATACACAGCTAGCCTGACAATCTGCTACAGCATCCCCCCCATCAGCCCCCCGCCCCTCCTTTACCTTCAGACAGCTCCAGATCCAACTCAGCCAACTGGTCTCTAACCTCTTTAGGCAGGGCGGACAAATCCACGCCGCGGTCCGCCATGGCTTCGCCGATAAACTCGAGTGGCGTCTAGTTGAAAAGAAACCAGGCTGTTGCGGGGAAACGTTAAAAAAAATAAAAACAAAACCCCTCCCTCAAGACACAAAACAAGCACCGGAGTGGGAGAGACAGTCCATCCGCACGGCTGGCCCTTCCGCCATAATGGAGGAAACTCACCAACGGCAACGGGCGGTCACGTGACTGCATTTACCTCGCCTGCGTGTGTTGATTCGCCGCATCCGAGAAGGGAGGAGGAGGTGGAGGTGAAGGAGGTGAGGGTCTCACCGACACCACTGCTCCCCCTGGCGTTTCAGTGGCGAACAGACACACACAGGGAGACACGGACACAGTCCCCGCCCTTCATTGAGTTCAAGAGGGTTAAAAGAAAAGATGAAATCTTCTTTATAAAGATGACTGAAGGTTTTTGGGGGGGAAATACAGGTTTCACGCACGAAATGCACATGTTTTGTGTGATCGTTTACTTAACTGTGCATGTATAAATCAATTAAAACGTACTCGACTTACTAAAAAAACTAAACCACAAAAACTGAAACTGGTGCAGCATCTGATTCCTGCTGTTAGCAGCTTTCTGGGACTCAGAAGATAACCTAATGGCCGATTTACACTACAGAGGTGCAACAATAGTCAATTTCCAGAGAGATCGGGGAGAGAAACTTTGCTGGAGACCAGAAATAGTGTATATTTGTCACACTTAAATGCTTTGGATCATCAAGCAAACTTTGATATTAGGCAAACATAACCTGAGTAAATGCAAAATGCATTTTTTAAGTATTGATTATGTTTAGCAATCAAACCTGCATAAAAAGGTAACTACCCCCTTTGTTAAATCATGAATTAAAAGGCTTTTCTAAGGATCCACGGTGAGAGCCATTAGCCACTTATGGAGAAAACATGGAACAGGGGTGAACCTTCCCGGGAGTGGCCGGCCTACCAAAAATACTCCAAGGATTCATCTAGGAGATCACAAAAGAACACAGAACAGCATCTAAAGAACTGCAGGGCTCATTTGCCTCAGTTAAGGTCAGAATGTGATGCTTAGTTGCTTCAAAATGACTTGCCCTAAGTGATGGACACATGAATTCTGCTCACTACCACAAAACCACATTTCTGAATGGCTAAAAAAACCCAACAATAACGAAATGAAAGTTTTGTTGTGGTCTAGTGAAAGTCCATGCTTAGATCACGTGTTGTTTTGGCATGACCTTAAACCGGCTGTTAATGCTCAAAAACCATCCGGTGTGGTTGAATTAAAACAATTCCTCAACAGCAGAGTGAAAGACTCAGTGCTAGTTATGAGAAATGCTTGATTGCAGTTCTTGCTGCCAAAGGTGGCCAATTATTAATTATTAATAACCAGTTATTATGTTTAGGGACAAACATGGGTGAAACATGTACGTGTGACAAATATGCAAAGGTATAATATTAATAATTTATAACACTGCCCAGTAATTTCCTGTTAAGAAATTACTGGAGGGTTTTTTCTGTTCTTGTAAAGAACAAACAGGAAGTGCCACACAGGCCTATATAATGCAGAGAGTCAGATATTTGAAAAAGCCACAACACATTTCTCTGGCTCTGACATGAGTTGAGAAGAATTTGACTTTAAGTCAGTCTTTGCAAAGTTCATGTAACACACAGTTGCAGTGCTGAAAACTGCCTCTGCATAAGCTCATAAAGTGACCTTGAGCACTTACGATCATCAGTGTGGCATCTTCACTGTAACCACGCTAAAAATAAATATTCCCTTCAGCCACTCCCGCAGCAGTTTAGGACTTCTCCAAAAAGTTCTGTTAATGTTTTTTTCTTCTTCTAGGAAACATGGACATTGTCTTGCGAGGAAAACAAGCTTCAAAGCAAACTGAACATAACAACTTAATTGCAGACTGCTGTCACTCTGCATTTCCAAAAATACTGGATTACTGGACAGCAAAACACAGCTTAAAAGCAGGGCCACAGCGAGCATTTTCTAGGCCAACAAGAACCCCTTCACACACCCATAATGTCACAGGTAGTTATAATTCTTTAACCATTTGGATTTTGAGTTAAATGTCTAAGTATATGGACTGTAAATGTACAGGATGGTTTAAACATTTACTGTTTTTTTAGTCCAGTCCTTGTACCTGAGCATTTCAGAAAAAAATGTTTTATTATTTTTGTTTGTTTGTTCCTTCTTGAGTTATCACATTCACTATATTTTGAGAAAAACTTGACCTTGAAATCGAGGTCACCAAGATTTTTAGCAGATTAAACCATGATATGAATTTCAAAATCTTACATCCCCTCGTTCTTGAGTTCACATTCACAAACTTGGATGTCCATGCCGCCTGTCCACCTGCTAGCCTGGCAGGCGGACAATACTCCATCAGCCTTTTATATCTAGCTGACGAATAAAACATATTTTTGCACCAACCAAAATTACTCCACGAGCACAGCAACAGCAGGTCACAAAAGAAACCAGAACGGCATTAAAGAACCGGATTCTTCACGTGTCAGTTAAGGTCAGAGTTCATGATTCAATAATAAGAAAGAGACTGAGCAAAAATGGCATCCATGAGAGAGTTCAAGGAGGAAACCACTACTGACTAAAGAGAGCGTAAAGGCTTGTCTCACATTTGCCAAAAAACACCTTGATGATTCCCAAGACTTTTGGGAAAATACTTTGTGGTCTCGTATTAAACTAACACAGTGTTTCAGAAAAGGAACATCATACCAGCAGTAAAAGAGGGTGGAGGTAGTGTGATGGTCTGGGGCTGTTTTGCTGCCTCCGGACCAGGAGGACTTGCTGTGGTAAATGGAACTATGAAATCTGCTGTCTACCAAAACATCCTGAAGGAGAATGTCAGGCCACCTGTTCATTACCTCAAGCTGAAGCGCACGTGGGTTCTACAGCAGGACAGCGATCCACAACACACCAGCAAATCCACCTCTGAATGGCTTAAGCAAAACGACATGGCCTAGTCAAAGTCCTGACCTGAATCCGATTGAGATGCTGTGGCATGACCTTAAAAAGTTGGTTCATGCTTGAAATTCCTCTAACATGGCTAACTTACAACAATTGTGCAAAGATGAGCGAACCAACTCATTGCCAGTTATCGCAAATTCTTGATTGTACACTGGTTGCTGCTAAGGGTGACCCAACCAGTTATTAGGTTCAGGGGGCGATCACCTTTTCACACAGGGCCATGCGGGTTTGGATTTTATTTTCCCCTTAATAATAAACACCTTCATTTAGAAACTGCATTGTGTGTTTAATTGTGTTATCTTTGTCTAATATTTAAATCTGTTTGATGATCTGAAACATTTAAGTGTGACAAACATACAAAGTAGGAAATTGGGAAATGCACACTAGTGTATTTTGGTATGGACAAGTAAAGGACAAAAGTAGATCGGTAGACACGGTCGGCCTAAAAAATATCTAATACATATGAAAGTGTCTGAAATTCATGTACTTAAAAAACTGTTTGCTGAAGCCTCATCAAAATAGTCTCAGTGGAAGGCTGGCTGTCAAGAAGACTTGCTTAAGAAAGGGAAATGTGAGACACTGTCAGTCATGGATTGGCCTCCTCGGAGTCCAGACCTCAACATTATTGAAGCAGTGTGGGATCATCTAAAGGCAGCTATCAGCCAAAGAAGAGCTTTGAATGTCCTTCAGGAAGCCTGGAGAATTAATCCTGAAGATTATTTAAAGAAATAACGGGGAATCTTATGTCACAGAGTTCACACTGTGCTGAAGAATAAAAGTGGTCATACCAAATATTGACTTTCAAGCTCATTAGAATTGTACAAGCTGTTGTTGTTGTTGTTTTTGCCTTAAAGATCCACATATGTCTGCATGCTTCAATAAATCCATGCATCAATTTCCCATTTTCCAAGCACAATATTTAAAAAGTGAGGAGGGGCTCAAAATCTTTGGACAATATTGCAGAAGTACTTGAAAGAGTATTATTCAATGCCTTTGTATACATCATTTCCTTTCATATCTCTTTTTAATCAAACTAAGTCTCCACTTTAATCATTCATATTAATAATTACATTACAATAGAAAACATGTTTTGATATGATAACTGAACACAGATAAAACAGTATAAATGTTCATTATGATGTAGTTTCTTTAATTAAAACTGCAGCACTGTAAGTGTTCATGGTATTCCTCTTGGACATGCATGGAAAAGTAAATATATTCATATAGTACAGATATGTACAATACAAGGACAATTTTAGAAATTATCAGTCCAACAAAGGGAGTGTGAAAAACCATCAATACACTATGTGTAATTTTCACATTACTGTATTTCCCACTAAATTGCTATGTTTAGAACAAGTCTGGCCCATCGTTAACAGGCCAAAGACTGTAAAGATTATTGTTATTTGACCAATTTAAACAATAAGTTAGACAACGAAGCTCAAAAGACACGACCGATTGTTAAAAGGTATTAAAAAAAAGAAGAAAAGAAAAAGAGGGGGTAAAATTTCTTTTAAAAGAAAAAAAAGAACAACAAAAAGCACAAGTCCATTTTTCTGTTGAGAAAACAAACCAACAAAAACACAAATCGTTGTGTTAAAGAAATTACTCTATATTCATCAGCGCAATCAGAAGCGTTATGATGAAGAGTGTGGTGCTAAAGACAGCACGCAACAAAAGAACACAAGAAAACATAAAAGCTAAATGCAGTTTGAATTTTCATTTCAAATGAACAATCGTCTATTTGACTGCCAGCAACTTACACAAATTGCCGAGGTCGCCGTTGAGACTGTAGGAGGAGAGGTTCAGTCAAAAGGGAAAAGGTATTAAAGTTGCTCAGCAAATTCCCATTTGTGTATACAGTACAGATAACAGAAAACCATCATTAAAGAAAAAACAAAAAAAACATTCGGATATCTCTGAAGAAAAAAAAAGAAAAGAAAGTAAATTGAACAGAAATACAAAGCAATAGTTAACCTGCATTACTTTAGTGCATAAATGTCCTTATGTTAATAAGTCATATCCTGTTTTTGAAATATCATATCTCGCGAAAATATTAAGAAAGAGGGCAAAAGAGGGACAGGGGAAAAAAAAGCAAACCACTTTGAGCATTCATGTAAAAATATATCGATATCTGGATAAAACATCTGGGGGATATTGTAAAAGAACTAGAGCCTTTCAGAAACAGTCACAAGACAGCTCGTCTTCTGCCCTTAAAGCTCTGACCACTGGAGATGTTTTTGCTCCGTCTCTCCACCAGATGACAGACAAGTACTTCAATATTTTAATAATATTCTAAAAAGACACTTTTTATTTACTTAAAGGCCTCAAAAAGCTTTGTTTATTAATTAAATGTTATATTTATTGATGTTCATTTTTTCCCAATTTATATACACTGACTAATATAATTCTCTAGAGCTGTTTTTTGCCCCCATACAAGCAAATCTGTATATATTTATGTGAGGGGGGGTATCGGAGGCACAAATGTGATCTTAAGGCAAAATGATCAAACACTGTGTGAAAGACTGTGTGTAAGTGCAAGTTACAAGCAGTGATATACTGTCATAGTGCCACTGCAACCTCTGAATCACAAAATAACAGTCAGGGTATTCACTTCTGTCCCAGGACAAGTACCAGATAGTCTTTGGAGAGATCCATTATGGCTTAGTTTCGGTTTGGTAGAGAGCATACAGAACAAGGGGTTCATAGCATTTTCAAACGAGCAGCAAAGGATGTGCAACCATCCTGAAAAGTGTGAAAATAACAGTTACAGTAAGTCCAGCAGGGCCCACACACGGAGAAAACACAGTCACCAGAACAGTTACATGTAAAAATGGAAAAAGGCATCCATTTACACACCAATAAACCACCTGCCTGTTTCAGGAAATATGAAAAGGTGGAAAAAGTTCAATTCCCTTCAGGTCAGAAAAAAAAAATCTGCTCCAACAAACTTATTTTTAAATCGCAATCTAACATAATTTTGGTTACATGGGTCAATCTGGGAGGACGTGCCAATTAGTTAAAAGAAATATAGCTGCACATACTGTATCAAAAACCCTATTAGAAAAGTCACATGCTAACAATCTAGCTAATAATGCATCAGATCAGGAGTAGGCAAACTGCTATGTTCTGATGTACATAAATATACAATCACACACACACAGTTAATACACTTTATCATAAAGGGGTGTACATGAGGTAAGGTTTTTGGGTCTAGGTTGAGATCGTGTTGTGGCTGAGAACCATTTACTAAAGGTCTGAGTGAATAATTGAGATGTGAGTCAGAGAATTCTAGACAACTTTCGCATCTTTGGAGCTGAGGATGTATAGGGAGGCATTCTGTGATGGCATGTGTGGGTGTGCGTGCAAGGCTAAAGTGACGAGGAGAACAAGGCACTGTTCCCTGCTGGAAAAAGTGTAGAGCCCTGTGTGCTGTTTATATCGGATTTGATTCACACACACAAAACAAAAAGTTTACGAAACACCTGTGCGGCACGTGTCCACGTGGGAAGATCGTTATGGCAGTATACTTGATGCAGTCCTACAGTCCAGTGAAGAGTCCTTATTACTGAGGGTGAGGACAGTTGAGTAGGGACGCACAGGAGGAAACAGGGGGGAGGGGGTATTGGAGTCCAGCCCCTGTAGTCTATGGCAAAGTTAACAGGAAGCTCTCTTAAAAGTCTCAGTCCTTTCCCAGAAGGCTGCTGATGAGCTCCAGGCCCCAGCAAGATGGCTCCCCAGGAGGGTTAGAAAGACCACAGAGGGGAGGGGGGGGGCAGAGGAGAAGATGTGAAATTCTGAATTTAAAAATGAGGGAACCTGGGAGGTGGGAGTCTTTTCTACCCTGGGTGATGAGCCAAGTGTGGGCCTTGGTGGCATCGCTCATCATCTGGCAGCAGATTGAGACTGTGCAGCCATGATAATGTGAGAGGGTCCGCTCTCAGCTCTCTGCTGCTGGCCCATTCCTGCCAGCACTGACATGGCCATAGCCTCAGCTGCTGCCCTTGAGCTCAGGCCGTTTTGCCCCGTAGAAGGGCTAGGCGCCAAAGAGCTGTGCTGAATCACCGGGGCAGGGGAACCTGTAGGCTCTGACATGTCTTTCATGCTCTCGTCTGCAGCTATACAAAAAAATAAAAAGGCAACACAGGCAAAGATATTTATCTCATTTATATTGAGCACATTCCACAGTTTTCATTGCTGAAAATCTTTGGACATTATGTTAATTTTTATTCGAGTGAAAATCAAGCTATATTCAGTAACTTTATCCCGTCCAAAATCAAGGAAATGCCCCAAAAAATACTATAAATAAAACAAGAAGTACTGGAACAAAGATTTTGCTACTTAATTATAGTTCTTGTTTTATTATTTTAATGTTACCATCAGCCCTTAGCAATATCTAAATTGCAAATGTTGCTTTTTTATCCAACTCTATTAATAATTTTTGGACACATTATTATCCACTGTGGCCGTTGCCATAACAAACTGAACCCTAATTATTTCAACAAAATTACAATTGCTTTGTGGGCACTGAAGAGAACTACAGCTCACATGAAGATACTAAAGCCACAGCAGCATGGCTATATTGTAACCTAGGCCTGCTCATTTCTTCTTGCAATCACAAGTAGAGAGCTACACACCAAAGCCGTGTGTTTCGATTAAAATGTGAGAGCGACTTTGAGGTTCAAATTTCATTTTAGCTCTTTATGCTTTGCGCAATACATCTACTATATTTCTACATAACTAAGACATGCAATTCAGACTCAAGTTTCCTCTAACTTTAAATAGCACCGTGTGAACAGGGCATAGCTGTGCAGGGCTCACCTAAGTAGGCAGTCTTCTTTTGTAAGGTGGTTACAGGACAGTCCTTGTGGGCCAGCAGCAGCTGCTTTAAATGAGCCACCTCATTACGCAACAGAGACACTTCATTCTGAGAGGATGGGGGGAAAAAAAAAAAAAAATCAGACTGATTAGTACTACAATACTACATTTCAGAAATTACATTACACTTCCCAAACCAATAAGGAAAAAAAAGTAATGCTTGGTTATGTAATTTAAAATACAGACTTCCCATATTTTTCTTCCCTAATGGATTTTCCGGTAGAAAAAAAAAAAGTTGAAATGGTTTTGCTTCCACTGCAGAGCAGCGTACATTTCCCACAAGGCGTAAGGTGTAAATATTACCTAAAATTTCCATTTGACAAAATAAAGATATGAAACAAGATGTAGTGGTTTCCATTGTTTCAAATCTATCAGCTATGTTCATTTGCAGAAAGAATTTACTCAATACTAATGCAAACTCATTTATCTTATCTGGAATCCACCTCTCAAACTTTTACAAGTAGTTAGAAGCCCCATCACCAGCATCCACCCACTGGAGGCCCACTCACCGACAGTGAGACGTTCAAAGTGCTGAGCTCCTCGGCTTTCTTCTCTAGGGAGCTGACCCACAGTTTGCGTTTCTGTCTGCAACGGGATGCTGCCGCCCGGTTCCTCTCGAGGAAACGCTGCCTTCGTTCGTCGGGGTCATCGTCTGTCGTCCGCCGTCGACGCCCACCTGTAGGCTGTGCTGGAGATACCTGGAGGGAGAAGCAGGGTAAAGGTCAGAAGGAAACACACAGACAGACGAGATGAGTGGAAAAAAGACGAGAAAAGGGAAGTATGAGTCACAGTTTCATTTTAGCCAGCACACACCAGAGTCATCTCGGCACAACAAGAATATCCCCAATTTTCTGTTAACTAAAACAAGTGATGTGATATATAATAAAGAAAGTTTAGATGACTTAGATGTGATCATCTTTAATCCAAGTTTAAAGCATATTTTGTATGGATGAAAAAAAAACATGTTACAGTCAGGAATTTATACTTAACATTGAGTACCTGAGGTTGTGCAGGTGATGGTGCGTCTGGCTGCTGGACCAGCAGCTGACTCTGTTCTGCCTTCTGAGGTACCATGGGGCTGCTGCCCATGGCCATGATCCCCATACTCTGTCCTGACGGGCTTTGCAGCGCAGCCTTCAGACGCTACAGAACAACAGTCAAATAAGCAACATCAATAACAGCCACAGGAATTTAAAAAATAAAAATAAAAATCATGAAAAACTTCATTGTAACTTTGTAGAAAGTCATAATCAAAGCGTGTCTGAATCAGTGCCAACAGCATGTCTACAACTTCACTGTGCTGCGTCTACATTAACTGATTCACACTTTGCAATAACAACCTGGTAAAGACCCTAGTTACCAATTTTTGGCATGTTTTAAAGTTGTTTAAAACATGGAGAAGCCTGATTCTCTCCGAGGAGAACATTTACAGATGTGCTCTCTCTGAACTGTTTTCAGCAACAGATTCATGTGACCTGCTTCAGTCAGATCTGGAGGCTTTATATGCTCCCGCAGCAGTTCTCGGATTTTGATCATGTTTGATTTAAGTTGTGACTAATTCAGCCGTGATGATTAAAAAAAGTGATTGCAGCCCTGAAGGTACACAAGCAGTCAAATGTTATATATGTATGTGTATATATATATATAAAGCAACCTCGATAATGATCATATCGTATTAGAAGCGCCATGAACAAAAAGATTCTGCAGATCAGCCCGAAACCCCCCCAACCCCAAATAAAAACAAAAAACCCAAACTAAAGTTTGTCTTTAATTACACCTATGATCATCTTCTTACGACTGAAGGAGTGAGGGGCTAGGGTAAACAGAGGAATGTGCTAAAGGGGATACTTTATATGTTTTAAGTACCATAAACAATGACTGCACTCTCTCAGTTTCATCTGGGTGGAAACTGTGCATGAATCTCTGTGTGTGCATTGCACTATCATAAAATGAGTGCAAACTGTGTTGTCAGGTGAAAGGGTTACATAAACAAGCAACCACAGTAAAAGATCATATGACGAAGGACCTAAGCCTGTGCAGCGGAAGGCTGGAGGGTGAAGATGGAGACAAAAAGAACAGATAAATAGATAAAAATAGAGAGCTAATCTAGTGCTGACCATCTTGGCCTCTGAGTGGATGCTGTAGCCAGAGGGGGAGTTGGAGCCGCTGCTGCTGCCTCCCAGAGGAGGACCAGGGATCCCAGGAATGTTGGGTACCATGCACATGGGTCGAGCCAGCTGGTGATCAAATATGAGACACAAATGCATGGGTTAAAACTAAACCAACTTCTAAGTTATAAAGTAAAGTTACAACATACTTAGACTGTTAGTCTGCCTTACATTAATGACAGAAGGCATCTGAACAGGACCAGGCAGCACAGGCACTGCCTGACCAGAGGGAAGCATCATCATAGGGTAATGGCTCGTCGGTGAACTGGAGAGACAGACAGCAGAGGACAAATAAGAACAGGAGATTCACTCTTGTGTTTGTTAATGAATTTTAAATTATGCTTTTTAAGAAATAGAACATGCAGTCCATCGCTTAATGATGAGAAAATATTTCATAGATTCATGAACTAAACTGTATTTTGTTCCGCTCAGGGTCAGCCAAAATCAAATGACAAACCTGGGTTGATGTGTGTAACACAATATTATAATCAAGTAAAAAATACAATTTTATTTGAGTTGTTCAAGGTTATTGTGACTTGCTAAAAACTGAACTAAAAACTAAAACCAGTGTGGAAAACACATTTTAGATAGTTAAAATAAAAATGAAAACTACACTTGACAAATAAATATGAATATTTAAACTAAGCTCAAATTAAAACAGAATTTTACTGTTTGCTAGTTTGGCCAAAAAACAAAACTATTACAACCTCCCTGATAAGGCAATGATGGTCATGTTTACTGAGACTTTGTATAGTTTTGTGTTATTATTATATTTATTCATCGATCTACTAAAAAATGGAAAATAATACAAACTAGACTAAAACTAAACATTTTCAAACAATAGAAACAAAACTGAGACAAGAAACCCCAGAGTGGAAACAACTGAAACTAAACTGAATGAAAAACAAAACATCAAAATGGGAGGAAAAAAGACTATAGTAGTTCTGATATTAATGACGTGAAATTGTTTGATCTTAGCTTAAATATATAATTCTGTCAAATATAAATATATCTGAATGCAAACACTCCAAATTATGATTTAACATATATGCATTCCCTCTAATACCAGTTTTTAACCAGTTTAATGCTGTTTCACATTTTACATGTCCAAAGATAAAAACTTAAGATTTATATTATGACTTCCTTCGAAAGCTTGAGTGTGACAAGCAAGGGATTTTTACCCTCTCTGCAGCCATTTTCACAAATGTGTGAAGTTGTCGACTTTTGTCTGAAACACTGTGCAGCGTCCGTGCTTAACTTGACTGATTCAACAGCAAATATAAACATTAATTTATCATTTTTTATTATTTATAATGGTTATAAATCCTATGCATATAATATTGCTGCAGACATAAGGAAGAATCATGTTACAGGTTCATGGGCTGAGTTTTGTGCAGCATATTGCAGGCTGTAGCTTCCCGTACAGTAATTGATGTACTACACATCGTTGGGCTTTTATGCAACACATTAATGTCCATAAATGAGAAACATTTTGATAAGTTATACCCAATTATAAAATGCATGAGTTTAGAATGCAAATAAACTGATATGCTATAAACTTTCTCTTATTAGCGTGTACTTGTTTTCAGTGAAATGTTACAGATTTGATGTGAACCATGATCATCTTTTCCATTATCCCAAGATAACATCTAAATTGCTGCTGTGTTACTTTACATACATCTGTATATGAAAATAAAGACTTGTGTTAACAGGGGAAAACTGCAACAGCTGGTAATCCTAACACCTATTTTATAGTGTCTGTAACAGGAAAAACAAATTCAATAGTTCCCTTTAAAGCTGCGTATCTTTCTTATTAATCATGAATACTTCGCAAAACTTCACATCCTATTTCACAAGATCAAAACTGGCATAATTTTTTGTCAGAGCACAGCTTTTGGTTGTTTTTGACTGTGGCTGACCCGTCGGGACCACAAAAAAAGAAGAAAAGAAAAAAGAAAGAACATGATGGCATCTTTGATATTAAAGGTTCACTTGCAAGAACATGAGATGTTGTCACATTGTTTGCAAAACATGTTTTTTAAGCTAGAATTTATTTTAAGTTGAAGATTAAGCTTAAAGAGTTTAGCAAAGACCAACCAAAGGATGTGGAACTTAACTTACCCCAAAGTACGATTTGAGGGTGGAGCCTGTGTGATGACGGAAGTGGGTGATGGCATGGTGGGCTGCAGAGCATCAAAGCCCAAATGTAGTGGGAGGGAACCTGGACGCACAATAGTCGGGGTAGGGGCTGAATTCCTGGGTGGTGTGTCCTACAAGATTAAAACAAAAAATAAAATAAATTAGGCTTTTATGTCACATCATTTGTACCCCCAAACAAATTTCTGCAACCACTGCAGCCACAATGTATCATGAATTACTTGCAACATCACTTAGCGATACTCCCCTCCTCTCTACACACCTATGCAATCCCCCTTATCAAGTTTTCTTGTACCTTTCCTTTAACTAGAGGCTCCCTGTTGCTGTCCGACTTCCCAGATGTGGAGTCAGGGCTGTCTGGGGGTGAAGAGTCGACTTCTACAGGTGCCTCCTGTTTCACCTTCACCTCTGATGGTGTCTGCAGGCTCATGTCCAAAGCCACTGAGTTGGAAGCAGGGAGCTGAAAATGAGTTACAGATAAAGAGAATAATCTTACACTACATATAGATCAAAGTATATTAAAAAAAGGGAAGTGGGCATTCATCACAAACTAAACAGCCACAACCCCAGCTCTGAAACGCATATAAAGTGCAATAAAACACCAAACAGTTTAAAAAGAAATTGCTGCAAAAACTGAAATGTAAATGACACACGGACTGTGTGCAAGGCACGAAGTTCAAGTTTGTAAATTTTTTGACTGAATTAATACTTGAGATAAAAAAGAAGGAAGTAAAATGTAATTCTTTCTGGTCATGTCGAGTCTCTGTAGAAAATTTCTTCGGTTACTGTACACTGTAATGCACACGGTCATGCACAAGCGCAGAGATAAAAGAAGATAAAATCATCAACCGCAAGTGTTGCTTACAGAGTTCTTGGCCCTCTTCTCATCATCATCTTGTTCAAAGGAACTGGCCAGCTCATTGAACAGGCCAACCTCCTCGCAGTTCTTTAGGAAACGAGTGGGAGTAGGTGTCTGGTCTAGGAAAATGTAATGAGCAGATATAACTATTCAAAGTAACAACACCACAGTTAGTTCACACTTACACTGAATGCAAAACCCCATGTGATATCTAGTGTTGGAGCACGCTGACGTTAGGGTAAATATTGTCCATCTGAATGCTGCATGAGGACATTTAAAAACACAGTGAAGATGAACGTCTGTCTCACACGGACGAGAGTACCTGCAATAATGACCGAATCAGTCCTGGCTGGTCCGAATTTCAGCGTCATCTCATGTTTGTGTTTGTGTACTGCCAAGTGGTCCTCGTTGGTAAACCTCTGGAAAAGCGAACAAGACGAAAGAGAACATTATATGAATTAGCCAACAAGAAACGGCAACTGTGTTCTGAAGAGACATCCTGTTTTTTGTATTGCTAAAATCAGCGATAGATAATCTTTGTGGCCAACACATGCAGTCTGTGGAGCACCCAGTATGTGACAAAAAGGTGAAAATGTCAACAACTTCATAGAGAAGTATATATAAATAAAAATAAAGGAAGAGGGAAAAAAATATATATCGACAGAACTGACCACAAAAGCTGCAGAAATAGCTGCACACGTAACTTGGTGTTGTCCAATGAATTAGTGTGTAAAACACATGTATGAACTGTGAGTCTGTAATGATAAAAGAAAGTCTGAATTCTGTTACTTCCTTTTGGCTGCTTGCAGCCTGGCGTTAGCTCAAATCAACCGCACACACGGCATTAACAGCCGTCCTCGGAGACATGGAACTTCTTTTGAGAAGTGGTGAGGTGATTCACTCGAGAGACGTAGGAGAAATAATCTTGGCTCTGGCACCAGCCTATTCACCATTCACTGAGGCCTATTTTAGGGTCCCGTGTTGCAGTTGCGAGTTCAGTCGTGAGAGTGAAGTGGAAACACAGTCAAGTGTCGGGGGGCTTATTTTTAGCCCGACCAGGAGCATCACCAATACGTGTCCCATCTGTCTCATTCCTCTGAACAAGGCAGCTAGGTCTTGTGGAGAAAAACTATCTCCAACTAATCTCCATGTATGAGAAAATGGCAGCTAGGATTACTCATCCCCACGCAATAAATACTGGGCATCATATAATAGGGGAGCTGCTGTTGTTGTTTTTGTTGTTGTTGTTGTTAACTTGGTAAAAGGAAAATCCTGAGCAAAGCCAGGAATCAATCATCCTTGTTCTATTATGGGCATGATTCAGACTTTCCCAGTAGAGAACTGTTGCATGTAAAAGGGCAGCATTAAAACAGTATTTGGACATAAAGGATACAATAATTAGCAGCAAATCGCAATTAAAGGCCAGAAAATGTATAAACATATAATGAAGGTACAGGATAGAGTACTGAACCTCAATGCCTTTAATACCGACCACTACCACAGAGTAGTGGAAACCATCAAATCGAATGCCTTGTCAGTATTATAACGGAAATTTGATTGTTGCCAATTTTAGACTGCATTTTCATTTACATGCATTACTTGCTTGTTAAGATAACACCAAGCCTGTGTATATCAATATTTGTATATTACTCCTGTTTTAACTGCTGTGGCATGTGAGCTGGACCACTTGTGGTAAGAACCCTGCAGAGCACTAAACAGATTTTGTCTTTTGTTGTTTTGGTTTAAGAAGAAAAAAAAAAAAAAAACCTCAACCCTGGTTACCAAAAATCTGATGATGTAGCTCCATCACTAACTGAAGAAACAATTCATTTAGCTTGTTAACAAAGTGGATTCATTATCAACTACAGAGCCACACTTTTCTCTCAGGAGTAGGCAGAGATGAAAACCAAGCTAAAAGAAAGTAATATTACAGTTAAGTGATCACAAACATGACTCCCCAAAAAATTCTGTAATCTTAACCAGCGAGAAGTTGTTACATGTGTACCATGACAACTTTATTCAATTTCACCTGTTTTTTTTATTTCACTGATGCCTTTGACTTTGTGTGTGTGTGTGTGTGTGTGTGTATGTATGTGTATGTGTGTATGTATAAAGGCAAGGCATCTGATACCCCCGTGTTGGTGTGGTTCCTGCATTATCTTAACGCTTTAGAGCCAATGGTATCATATTTGATACACAGTTTCTACAAATTAAAGCTAATACGTGCAAATGATTTTTTTTTTTATCTCATCAGAAAGTTCAATAAACACTCAATTTCCAAAAATTTTTTAATTTTCTGGCAATTATTTCATGGTTCAGGCTTTAGATCAGGATCAGCAGTGCAACTGAACGATCATGTAGTTGTGCTATCGTAGCTTTGCAATGTGGGGAAAAAAGACATGTTTTCCTCTTTGTTTATATAAAATTCTGTTCTGGAAAGAATTGTAAGAATTTCAAGTGTTTTCTTTATTTTTTCGTACAATAGAATAAATATATGATCATTAGCCAAATTCTTGGATAATGCTACTCTAACATAATTATCATGACATAGAAACACCAACACAGTGATATCAGATAGTGTGTGTAAAGTGACTCTGTGTTTCTTAAAAAGGTGCTAAGCAAATGTGATTTCTTTTCTCATTATTTTTGTTTTGCATTTCTTCTGCCCTTTGACATAAATTCAACCAAAACAAAAGAAAGAAAACTGTTTGTTTATAACCTTGTACGGGTTCTCTAAAGTGAGGTGGCACTGCGATACTGACAACATACCCAAACATCTAGCACCACTCTGCCATCCCACACCTGTTTATACAACAGTCTGGCTCTAAAACAATGCTTTGAGAGTGACACAGCTGCAGACCAGCACTGTCATCCACATCACTTTGCCTCTTTAGGTCTCTGTTGCTTAAGCAGTAAAATAAATTAGTAATCAAACCAATGAAATATGCAGAGTATTTACATCACAAAAACATGTAAAGAAAGACAAAGGAAGGGTCCCTAGATGTCTGCGATGTTCTGAAAAGAAAATTACCAAACAACTCATCATCACTTATTTATCGACTATGCATGTTCAACTGCTTTACATGACTGCTGTTCAAACCACAATCCCATTCTTCTGATCAGAGCATGGAAGAGGTCCCAAGAATCCCAAGTATTGCGTAAACCCATAAACACTTTCTTCCTTCAGATTCCCAGGAGCCATTTCACTACTAGCTCTAAGGATATCACACCCAAATGAACACAGCATCAGACATGATGATTTCCTGTGTTGAATAATCATCAGTCTAAGAACAGACTCCTTTTTAATTTCTTCCTTCTTCTATTCTATGATATCAAACCAAGCCTCGTCGAAACACCACGTAACAGGCATGTGAGTGCACTACTGGCACTCAGCTGAGTCACTGCCTCGGCTCAAACCTGTGTCTGCAGGCGCTTAGAAGTCAGCAGTGACAGGTTGAAACAATAACGGTGCTGATTACTCACTGGAGCTTCCAGTGAGTCATTGCAAAAGGAGACAGCATTGTCTCACAAAACGGCATGCTAGCATGAATGTCATCGGTGTGATGTTAATTATAAGTGTTGCATAAATATGTCCGTTTACGCTTGCAGTGAGAACGGATCTTTTCAGGGTTGTTGTATATAGCGCTACATTAAAACCAGTGCGTTCTCAAAAAGAACGGCTATTTATTTTTAGGTTTCATATAGTTTTCTTTGAGAAGTACAATACTGTGAAGTGCAGTACTGACCTTTGGTAAGCAATTACAAAAGGCAAAGATTACTACCACAGAGAGCAGGACATGAAAAGAGAGGACTTACCTGTCCGCATCCAGGAGCACTGCACACAAAAGGTCGGTCGTCCCCCATTTTTGCAAAGAGCCTGCAATGTAACTGTGGTAGAGGAGAAGAAGAGAACATTGTTGCAGCTTTTTTTTTGTTGTTGGTGTGTGTACTGGCAAAATCCTGAAAACAACAAAACAGAGATGCTGTGGCTTGTAGTCTTTAGTCTGAGCAGGAAGCCGAATGGTATTTAAAAATAACCCTGGCAAGGAGGAAAACACGCACAGTGGCAGCGAGAAGAAGTTTCCCTGGTGATACTTCCTTCACACACACGGGGGCTTCGGGCTGGCCAATGAGGAGCCTGCTTACACGAGAGGACGGCCGCTACCGTTTACACAAAGACATCTCCGTCTCCTTCTCTTTCCCTGTCTCGTTTTTCCTCACTTCCAATGCCTCCTTCTCTCATTACTACTCTCTCCTCACCTCTCTGCCACCTTGCCTCCCCTCCCCTTCTCGTACCCCTCATTCAATGTTTCCCGCTCTCTGAGTCAGCTGTTTCTCTGTGCACGCACATGCAATCTAAGGTTAAGTACCTCCTCATTCACTTTATGAAGGTTTTCATGTGTTTCCACACAACAGATCTCTGGCACTGGACACATTCCCATTGACCTCGCTTCATTTTGTTCTCCAGGTCATCTTACTACTTCTAAATGAACATCTGATACTTATATTTTAAATATTATGAAATTTTGCAATCTTAAGGTGGATGGTTCAGCTCCTGAGAAGCAGGATGAAGAGTTTTAAGGTAATTTGACATAGCTAAAACTAACAAGTTTTTTGAAACATGAACATTTAACCACAGTTTATTGTTATATTAGTAAGTACTTTAAATTATGTATAGTTTGTTTTTTTTTACCAATATGTATATATTGTTAGAGTGTAGCTACCTTTTGCTAGCTGGTTGTTAACATGACTTACAAAAAAAAGACATTAAACATAAAAAAGTTCATCAAAAGATAACCATTATTTCAAAAATATTTCAGGGCATAATCACGCCGTTTTGTATTTCTTAACTTCTAATAAATGTGCCCCAGGATTTTAGTTTTAGTGTACTATTAACACAGTATTAACAGTATTTTGTAAAGTAAGTAAAAATAGAGGCATATGTGGGCAGCACTGTTGGCCCTTCTAATCTACTAAAAAACCTAAAAAGCTTTCCAATAAAAGTTATACACAACACCCCTCTCACCTTCTTATTAAATGCTGTTGTTGAGAGTTAAATACGTGCATGTTTTATTTGTTTTCTTCTTCTGAAGTGGCAAAAAAATGCAAGCATACTGCTTCAATCTCTAATGCCACCAACCCACCCCCACCCTGCGCTGCTCTGCACAGCTGAACAACACTGCACGTGGAGACAAACTGGGAAGTTTAGAAAAATAACTCATTAAATTTAAATCGGGAAATTGGAGGGGAGGGGGGAGGGGGTAGAGGCAACGGACATGAATGTTTTAGCATTCTCAGCTGGCCCAGAGTGACGTCTGGCAGCTATTACACAACACTGTCCCACTGAAAATACACCAACTGCATCGAGGACTTTGTTATGTACACACGCAGACACAACCAACATGTACACAAAGGAAAAATAAAGCCACTCACTGGTATTTATGTAATATACTGTATATATTATACTCAATGTTCTCCAGCTCTTGAGCAAAAATGTTGTCAGACTTTTGTGATTTAACACAAGCCCTAGGATGTCTTTTGTGATTCACCTCTTAAACTTTTACTTTAAAAAAAATGCTGATTTGAAGCCGGGGTAGACTCTCTGTTTTTAACCATCAACTGACAGTCCATAATTATCTTTCAGTTTATTGCAATTCAAAAAGCAAAAGTTTTCCAGCTTTAGAAAACATATATTTAGAAAATATAGCCGATGGGCCAATCACAGGTCTTTCAAGACCAGACCAGTTGAGCACTACCTTACAACCACTGGCAGGCAAAGTGAATAACATTATACATTATTTCATTACAACAAAACATTCTGCTGGAAAATCCTTGCCCCTGGTATTTATGTATTATGCATTTATACATGTTATTGTGACACATACCAACTAAGCATTGAGGCAGTCTAAAGTTGTCATGATACTAGAATTTCAAACTCGACACTTGTACACAGAAAAATATTCGATACCCTTTTCAATACCACAGGCAAGATTTTCTGCATCCTGCAACTAAATAATGTCAAAGTAGTGATATCGTGAAAAAGTTAACTTTTTTTTTTAAACTAATTTTCCATAAATTACAGATTTTGAAGGTTAAAGAAATTTATCTTCACGAACAAAAACTGAAAGACCTAACCGGTCTTTGATTGGATTTTAAAACTGACCTCACAGCTGGCAACAACAAAACAAGAAACAGATTTTGATAAACATTTGTTAAAAATAAAATAAAAAAAGCTCAGGTTTCTCATCTGGTCCACATCTGCCGGCAGCAGATGTTGAATACAGTTCACACTGCTCCTCAGTCTGCAGCTCTTCACATACTCAGCTCTGCTCTTCAAGACTGAAACCCGTCCAATTCTGCTGCACTGCTCCAGATTTCACTCTCTATTTGCTCCAATTAGTTCTCCACACTCTGGACTCTCTGCTCAGTTCAACTATGCTTCCCCAACTGCTCTGAAAAGCCAGCAAAATGCCCAGTTCTCCATGTGTCTGTAATCCAGTCTGTTACAGCTCAATAGCCCATTCAGCCTGCAATAATTATTCATCTTTTGTCTAACTACAGTCGACTATCATCTGTTAATGATAACATATTACTAATGTGGCTATGGGGCAATTACTAATAGTTAAACAGCTATCATTACCATGTGTGCTGGTTAGATAACTGTTTAATATTTCAATGTTGTTGAAACTAGAGCTTTACTGACCTCTGAAATTCCTTCTAAAGTGTTGTTCGGTATTATGGACAATAACTACTTCAGCTGTTAGTGAGGGGAGGAGCTGTGGGCCTGACTACAATGGTGCTGCATGCAGTTGTGTGTCAGCTGGAAGATGCAAAGACACCACTGTTTGCATTGATACTCTTGCAAACGAGTATCTTAATTTAATATTAATTTTGAGCGCAGGTTTTTTTGTGTGTGACAACAATGGTAACGTCACTCGTCCTCGCCCGATTCCCCACTCAGCAGGACAATGCAGCCACTACAATGCAAAAACTGATGAGTACAACTTCCAACATCCTAAGGTGATTGAGCAACTGCGGGATGCACCGGAGCAAACACCACACCACACAGCTACCCATACGGCCCAAGGGATCACATCGCCAAAGTCATCCAATGAGAAGCCACGAGACATTCCCAGACGTCCCCGGTCAATAGCCCAACAGGGCAGAGATGTTATGAAAGAACACGTTCACCTGGGATATAAGGATTTGAATCTTGTTTGCAGCCAAGCATAGACAAATTTTCAACAGGTAGGGTCAAAAACCAAAGAGGAGAAATCTGTTGAGTGTAGTAACATTGCAGTCTCATTACTTTTGAGCAAAAATTTGTTTGTGAATTAAAAAGTTGCTTAGTACATAGAGGTTTTCGACAAACTGGAAAGAAAAGACAAATTAAAAATGTTTAGCATTTCACTATTTCTGAGTTACTGACCACATTAACCTCGGCTGTACCTCTAACATGTGTTGTGCATGTCATTTAACATTATTGAGTGGGACAGATTATTCATTTTTTTGGCGAGGCATAAATGTCTGAAAGTTTTCCCAATGTTGAAGTCAGTATATTTTCCTCCTTCCATCTCTCCCTCTGCAGTCCTTGAGCCAGCGCGCGATTACCGAAGCCTTGCGCTGGAATAAGACACTCTCCCGTGAAGCTTAGCTTGTAACAAACCTAACGGTTGTGTCTCGCTGCTTCATGAGAAAAGGGGTCTGCATCATATTTGCAGGCAAACGCTGCCCCTCTCTGCACACGTCAAAGAACCCATGAAACAGAGAAGTCTGATTTCTTGCAGGCAACAGGTCAGTGCAAGGCCCCTCACAAAGTGCTTCCAATCTACTGAGTCTATTTGGGTGGACGTGTCTGCAAACGAGATACTCCATCTAGCTCGTTATACCGAGGGTGTGGACTGTTTGAGGAAATGGACACATCTGGCATCAGGAGTAGGAACAGATTTCAAAGTTTACATCTTACTAAAGACATGCTAGACATTAACTTGGCTGGCTGGCACCAACATGAAATGTGGGATTTGATTTTGTGGAAAATCCACCATAAATTCCAGATGACAGGGGTGGAAAACACCATTTGTTTTCATAGCTGCCCCAACCAATTGCTTAAACTGATTAAAACAGATGTGTTAAGGTCTTTTCTTCAGCATCTTTTACTTGCTTCACATTAAGAAGCCATCCGTAATTACCGCCTAGATTTATTTATTTTTTACAGGTAGAAATGATACAGTTAAATTAATGTTGCGACTGTCAGAAGTGTCTCACTAACGTTTTCCTATACCCTCAAATAGCTACTTCATGCAGACCCCCAATTTCATGCGAGATAATCAGTCAACTCGTTACATCAGTCCTGATGCACATCACTGATATCAATTACAGGTTTTGATATCAAGTATTTTCACCTCCTTTCATCCAAGGTGACATGGAAGCACTCAAAGCGTTCTCATTTCTGTCTCTCTCATTGAGTCGATGCCAAAGTCCCAACATTAACTTGGATTTCTCCGACTCAGCAGGTGTAAGGGAACAAGTCCCAGCTATAATCAGCCACAGCCATCCAGTGTTTGACGCCGCCTGCTAGGAAACTGACTAAACAAACTGTATTAATAGCTTGCACTGCAGCCATGACTGTGGAATCTGGGGCTTAAATTGCCAGAGGGTAGGGAGACCCCACAAAGAGAAAAATAACTAAAGGGGGCTGGAGGGGAGAGGGATAAAAAAAGAAACCGTGAAAGAAAAAAATGCAAATCAAATATGTGCTTGGATAATTATGGGATCAGAGGTGAGCATTTGAGACAGGACATCCAGGTTTATGGCTGGGTGTGTGCAAGAACCAAAGTGTTTTGTTTATGTAAGCAAAGTGAGCACAAGATTTAGTAAATGGAACAAAAGAAATCCTATTCCTACTTCTGCATAACCAACAAGGCCTGAAAGCTAAATCAGTGTTGATGCAGGACAATACAGGATGGACTCAAGGGAGCTTCCTAAAATTAAATCAGAGACATTTTGTAGATTTGATTGTGGTCTGCAACTTTAACAAGCAAATATAGATTTATAACTATAAATTCAAAAAGAAGAACACCACATTGAAATGTAGCCAGTAGCTTTTACCCATACTCTACAACACTTTCAAGCCAATCATTACTTAACTAATCTAATCAACAGAAATGCCTAAAAGCATGCAATATACACTTTAAAAAAAAAAAAGTTTCATTTTCAAGCTGCAAAGAACATTTGTGTTGGGTCCAACTTCCAAACATCTCGCATTACTCTTCAGTAATTGCATGTATTTGGTTGGACAAGACATAGTGCAGTTTTCTCAGTTCTAACACTTCTCTTAGTGAAGGAATGATGCACAACTCTGCCAAAAACATGACCTACATTTCTCAGGAAGGTGTTGACATGGATGGAGACATGGATCGTGGGGCGTTGAGCAGTTCAAATTGCAATACTGTGGATATCATTAGTACTTTTTTTTTTAAGGTTTTCTTGCAAACCCAAATTCTCGCAATATATCCTACCGCCAAAAAATCTACACGAGCGCGCTTTTTTCCACATATTCGGCAATATAAACGAAGATTATTTTAAAGTTGAATTCCCAAAGTTCCACAAACTTTAGTTCCTTTGTGAAGACACCGCTAACTGTGTCGAAAAGGTTTGTCTGTTTTAGCCTCCATTACCTCTGGCTACGTACGGGTACATAAGCCCAGCCTTTTCCCGTAACAATGCCGCCTATTCTGTTCAGCAATTGGCCACGAGAGCGTCAGTTAGCGACTTCTAGGGCACTCATAGGTTCGAACCCTGTCAATAACGTCCGACAGCTGAATCTGATTGGCTAAAATCTCGAAATCAACTTTTTTTTCCTATCAACGCAAAACTAATGGCTAGCTAATGTGGCTAGCGTTAACAACAGGCCGAGCGCACACTTAAAAAGTGAGTGATAGCAGCACTTGCTACCACTTTCTGCCATGACAATAGACATATATTAAAATCAATTTAATAACATCCGACGTGAATTGCTGTATTTCAAAGTGCACTTCGGGTATTTAGAGTAACAACAGCCGAAAAGGCTAGCACTTAGTTGGTTGGCGGAGTGACACTTGAGTGCAAAGCGAGACACAGTGGGTCCGAATGAAACGTTGTAGCTCCCACAACAGTTTTGACAACTACATAGACGTGTCGTTTTAACGTCAGCAAACACTGAAAAGTGTCGTGTCGAGCGCGACATTGTAATCATTTACTATACTCGAATAATCTATGGTGAATTTAAAGGTTAATAAAGTGTTTACAAACTCACCCTCGCGCCCCTCTCTCTGACTCCCCTCTCCTCTCTTGGAATTTGACACTCCCCTCGACGCGGACTTATCGCGAGATTTCGTACAAGCTATCTCTGCCTGGCCACATGTAAAGAAATGCACCGGAAAGCTCCTACATTTATTTGTTTTGTTTTGTTTTAATTTAATCATAATGAAAGTTCTGTGTATATAAATTCAACCCAAATTTTCTGCAGTTTAATGATGAAACGAAACTTAATTTTTGAATATTTTTCTGACTCATCAGAAATTGTAACCCTTACTCTTACATTTTTTTTCTTGCTGCTATTTCTGTGTCTGTATTCCCCCCCTCAGCCTTTGTATATATCTTTAAGCATAGGATGACTAGATGGGAAAACAGTCTTTATGTTTTCTGTGTCATTTATTAAAGCTTAAACAGAGAAACATTGACTTCAAGTCCACCTATACAGTGGGTGCAATTAAGATATTAATTGTAACTGACTCGTGAAAAGAGGTAAATTTGGCTTTGCAGGGTAAGAATTCCCCTCATAACTGTATGAATTTGATGGGTTTTCGAACAATAAACTTTTGCGAATATAACACATCCTTTTAAGTACTGTACATCGTATGTAGAAGCTTTTTGGAAGCTTGAACTGTCACTTACATTTTTAAGATATGTCTCATTTATCTGATATCATCAACATGTCATTAATTTAAAAAGTTACTGACTGTGCATCTGTGTGATTTAAAAAACATGATAAAACATTAAAATGATGATACTTGTGGTGCATATGGTTATTAGTTTCATGATATCTTCATTTTTTCAAGTCACTGATTGAAGTTTTGTTACATGGTATGTCACAGCTGTCAACAGTGGGGTCGTTCCCCTCTTGATTTGGTTTCCTTCCTGATACTCTCAACTTATCCCTTTGTAAAGGTACAAGCCCCAAATAGCTGGTTAAAAAAAAAATCACAAATGAATATGCCTGAACTTGTGATCATGTAAATGTAGCTCTTCTTATACATTTGAAAAATGCATTCAAAAATGTATTCAGATAAACTGGCTGATGTAATCTACAGCCAGTGTTGCTTAACAATAAATGTTTCCTCCGATATAGAAGTGTCACATTTACTTCAAAGGCAGTCTTACAAGCTGGTGACTTAGAGACAGGGCTAGAGGGACCCCCAATGGATAATATGAGAATTGAAGGTGCTAATGGTAGCTTTCAAATTCTTTCCAAAACACTGAAGTAACGGTATAATTGGTCATTTCTTTGACTTAAATATGTTTGTCAAGAGCTTTCCCCAGAAAAAAAGCATTTAGCATTTTAAAATGTAAAATTAAATACAAACCTTGTTTAACTGTTGTAAATAGCACTTCTATCATAACTCCATCGATACTCTGGGCATTTTTTTGCACTACAATTAGAAATTACTTCACAAATACTAAGTATAAATATATTATCCGTTTCCTCTGAACTGCTCGCTGTAGCCGCTGTGATCCACTCCAACATGTGTACTAAAACTCTTATTTTTTATTATTCATGCCCTTGAGAGAATATGTTAGATGCAGCAGATCATGAATATTACTTCTGAATTTAGGTTATACACCCACTGGTCACTTTATTAGGTACACTTTTCAACTGTACATTAACACAAATATCAGCCAATTACATGGCAACAACTCAATGCATTTTGGCAATTAGAGATGAAGACGACCTTATGAAGTCCAAAATGCACATGAGAATGGGAAAGGAGAATAGTTGGACTGCTTAGACCTAATAGGAAGGGAACAGTAACTCAAATAACCACTCCTTAAAACCAAGGTATGCAAAAGAGCATCTCTGAACATGGAACCACAAAGCATAAGGGCTACAGCAGCAGCAGACCACACCGTATGCTACTCCTGACAGCTGAGAACAGGAAAGTGAAGCTTGCCTAAAACAAAGCACAAAGGATTCGAAAAACGCTTTCTGGTCTGATGAGCATAGGGTCAGAATAAAAAAACAACATGAAAGCACGGATCTATCCTGCCGTGTAACTGTCTGCCGGTGGTGTAATGGTGAAGGGATATTTTCTTGGCACACTTTGGACCACGTAGTAACAACTAAGCATCATTTAAATGCCACAGTCTGAGTGTTATTGCTGAACATGTCCGTCCCTTCATAACCACAGTGTAGCTATCTTTGGTGGCTGCTTGCAGCTGAAAAATGCACCATGTTACAAAGCTCAAATCATCTCAAACTGGTTTCTTGTACAATGACAATGAGTTCACTAGAGCACGCTTGGGATGTGGTGGATCGGGTGCTTCACATGGTGGACCTGTGGCCCCCAAATCTGCACAACTATGTCATGTCGTCATATCAATATGGCCCAAAATTTCTTAAAAATGTTTCCAGCAGTCGAACCTTGTTATGAAGAATTAAAGAAGCTCTGGAAGTAAAAAAGGGGTCCAACCCAGTACTAGCAAGATGCATCTAAAGAAAGTAACACATGAGTGTATATTTTGACAAAGCTACATATGTTATGTTATGTTCAGTTCATTGTAGCCTGTAGCCATGCACTGAGCTTTAATAATTGCACTTGGTATATGGTCTCTTTAATGAAAGATATTTGACATGCCAGAAGCAGGAACAAAGTTTTAAAAAAAACATCATGGCTCGTGTTTTAAAACGCTGTCACTGTGAATGTTTGGTCATCAGTGACAGTGCTTACTGTAACAGTTTGTTATTAGATATAACCTGTGTTGTATATGCATATTGTAAAACAATCACAGCGCAGTCAATAACAGGTATAGACATCAAGTATTCTCTATTAGATGTAATTAATTGTGACTTGATATATATGAGCTATCAATGTGTGATTTTTGTGAAGAGCAGAGAGAAAAGAGTGAGCTGGAATATAAAGGCATTTACTTGCAGTATGTTTACAAAGAAGAAAAAAAAAAAGCACCTTTGCTGGTGTACACAAGACATGATCTAGAGGTTAACTTTTACACATTTGTAGAAAGGCAAACATAATCAAGCACAGAAATTGTCAGATTGTAGACAAGTGCTTTAACAAATTGCAAGTTGGTGAATCCTTCAAAGACACAAACTTAGTCATCATGCCATATCATGGTCCTAATACGTAACAATTTAAAATAAAGTCACTTTCAAATATCCTGCAAAATGTTGGACCAGCGAGCACCCTTGAAACACAAACTTTTGCAAGTTAAGACTGAAAACTTCCACTGATAATAAAAACAAAACAAAAAACAACAACTTTATTCCTTATTGGCAACTGGAACTGCAACTTTTTATTTCATTTTATTAAAATATAGACCAAATAAATACTAAATCACAAGACTGCAGACTTGCTATCAGAGCAGAAGAACTTCCAAAGACTATGGAGGCAAAGTTAGTGTGCCTGGCACATCATGTGAAACCAGTAATAGTTACCAACCTTCTGCTGCATCGACATAAATAAAACTGCTGCCATCTGGCATAATTTCTAATATGCTCAAGTGTTTTCTTCTATCCATTTTTGAGCCTCACTTTTTTTTTTGGTGGGGTGGGGCTATCCATCCCAGCAGTCACAGGACAAAAAGAACGGTGCAACCCCAACAGGCCGCCAGTCTGCCACAGAGCTAACACAGAGAAAAACGAACACTCACAGCCAATTCTCTAGTTAACCTAACATGCATGTTCTCAGAGCGTGGGAGTAACCCTGGAGTAACCCAGAGAAAACCCACGCAGGCATGGGGAGAACATGAAAACTTCGCACCAGCCATCCAGTGATCCAGGACGTTCTTGCTGTGTTAACCCCCACACTCTGTTTTCTTTAAATCTGATGTGTTTACTTCTATTGGTATATCAAAAATGACTGCAGCATGAGCTCTTCAGGGTGTCAGAGAGAAAGATGACCACTCCAACTCCAACATATAAACCACCTTCACACGACACACTCTATTACAAATACAGGACATGAGTCCTCATTCATCAACTGTTTGTTTCACTCTAAAAAGGTATAACGAGCATATACTCATTCTGTAATTTATGACTTTCCTCATTGTTTGTGGCAAACTCTTTTAAATTATATTTACATTTTAAAAAGTAACATTCATACTTCCTGTGAATTTAGCAGGCAAGATGATAACTTTAATTTCTGACTATTCATGAACCAAAACAGCTGGATGATTAGATGCACATACATACACCGTTACTATGATGGAGCTGAATAAACCTGATGTTATACTTTCTTTCTGCAAAGAAAGTGGGAAAGATTTCCTTAAAACAGGCTTTGAGATACTCAACGCATGAGGAGAATGCACTGGTGCCAACTTGATTCTACAAATGAAAATATATTCATCTGCACTTCACTCACTGCTTATTTAGATTTTTTGTAAAGAAAAATACATTAAGTTCATCATTCCTCCTATCACATATATTGTAATAAATTGCAGAAAGGTTGGACAACTCTTTAATACCGTGGAGACACTTCCTTGCAGTGTGCAATGCAGTGTGATGAGCTCTTTAATAATGAGCCAGTGAGGTCTGAGGAAACGGCTTCATTTTCAGTCTCTCAACAGCAGATAGTCTTTGATAGTCTCTGGTAAAGGAAGCTCTTTGACAGCCGTGGGGAGGAATTGCACTCCGAGACTTTGCCGTACTGCACAGCGTGCCAGAGAGCGAAGCGTGGGCGCCTGAGCCACCATGTTGGTCAGCCTCGCCAGCAGCTGGGGATCTTTACTCAGCTCCCTGGGAAGGGTGCCGTCGGCCCGTCGAATCTCAAACCTCCCTGCAGCTCGACACAGTAGCTCCAAACACTCTTCCTCTTGTTCGGTGCCCAGGCCTCGGGCCAACAAGGCCACCAGCCGGGAGATAGGGGTCTGGCCCTTCAGGTTAGTTACATGGACCTGCGCGCCATAGTCTAATAGCACTTTGACACTTTCAAGGTTGCCTTTCATTGCTGCCCAGCTAAGAGGTGTGTCATTGTTATAGTCACGGGCATTGGGACAGGCCCCGCTCTCCAGCAG